AGGGTAAGAAGGTCGGTAACACAAGGTTAAATAAAGATATTTAAAACATTAATGAGCTATCTTTCACAATATTGTAAACAAAGTATGTACTTCAGAAATGTTGACTTGACATAAAAATTATTAAAAATCGAAGAGCGGATCTATTTTAAAGAAATATAATAAAGAAAAAAACATATTTAATCAAAACCTTTGCAATTATAAATACTTATAATTATTTTTAAATGGTTAGATATCATGTAACTTCATAGATAGTTCTCATTAAGATATATTTAGTTGAATCGTAAATAAAAATTTTATATCAAAACCTTGACCTCCACTAAAAATTTTTATTCTACAGCTATTGAACTTAACATTTTTATTTATAAATCCTTTTTAATGATAATTTATAATTAGATAGTATTTGCTACAAGACTTTCCAAATTAAAATCTCTTTCATATTATATTTTCTTCTCTAAATAAATAAAAATTGAAACTTTTTTAAAAAAAATTTTTGTTTTATTATCGCAATATTAAATATGTGGTAATTATTTTTTAGCCTGGTTAAAGTAGCATTATGAAGCCCATTTGCGAAGTTAATCAACACATTGTTTGCCTATTGACTCTTATCAAAACGTTTATTGGTTTAATAGAGTTGATGGTCTATATATTTTGAAGCCCTCTGAGTTTCTTTCTCAATTACGTGAGGCATTTTTATAAAAATGTTTAAACTTCAAATATAGTTCAATAATAACATGCTTATTATATCTGTGTAAAATTTTTGAAATTACTATTTCTTAATTAATTAGTATTTAATTCTGAAGAATTTATGAATAGTTTTAAAAGTCGAATCATTAGTTAGTGCTGAAACGAAGTTCAAATCAATAACCATTTTTTTCTACGTATCTCGAGACACAATAATGAAACACAAATTACAGTTTTTTTCCGGTCAAACAAAAACGACCGTATACGCATTGATTAAAGATATGATTATCTATTATATTTACATTATACGTTTTTACTACATACTTTTATTACAAAGTGAATTTCTAATTTACTACAAATTTTGTAAAGTATAAATTTGTTTTAAAATGAGTTTTGTCAAATGTTAATGTGATATGTTATAGAATTTTTTAAAATGAAAATTGTAACTAATGATTTTTTATGGGATAATGTCTTTGACACTTTCGACTCGCTTTCGACTATTGAAAGGAATTTGCATTTATGAGTTTTACGGAGAGTAAGGAACTTAAACCTGATGTCCTTTTGCTTTCTGTTTTTCTGTTTTTAACACAGTTTGCATTCACAGGAACCGACTCCTCAACTTTTTCAGAAGAGTGTCGCCAGACTCAATATTCTTGCTCTTGACATTTGTTCATGACCTTTCCAATGGTCACTCATCGTCGCCTCTCAACTTCCAACTTGTTAAACAACTCCCAGAAATTACAATTTTGAACCAAATTTCCAACTGAATTTCTATGAAAGAATGATTCATTACTAATTCAGCTACATAGATATTCTATTTTAATTAATAAGTCTAGATTTGAATAGAACTGGTTTTAACTAAGTAAATTTTTTTAAAATTGCGTTATAAAATAGTTATTTATGCATTAAAAAATATATGTCTTTATCTCACACGCAGGTCAATTGAACTATTCAAGAGACAATAAAATTAATCTTCTGATTAGAAATTTAATTTTAATCTTCATTTTTTTCTCCATTTTGTAAAATTCATATTTTTAATATTTTTTTTTCTTTTAATTATATTTGCAATTCAAATCAATATTTTCGCAAGTTATTTGCTAGACTCTTTTGAAGGGGTCATAACTCTGCAAATAATGACAAAGGCGCAACAAATAAAAGACTGTTAAGAAAGTTGAGAATACAAATGGAAGGCAAATTGAATGAAAAATGTATAACGCAAAGTCACGTTCTGATAATAATTGTAACTGAACACAATAATTAATAAGATGATAAAAAAAAAAGATGAGGAAACATTTTATACATAATTATAATTTCTTGTGTATGATACGTAACATTTGTTGTTCAACAAACGTCAGAATTGAGATTTTTCTTCTTAAATTGAAACACGTGTTCATGTAAATACAATTTTATCATGTTTTACCTATTTCTCATTAAAGTGTCAATTTATCATGAAAAATGTGAATGTAATTTATAATAAATCTCAACTTCAAGTTATTTATAAAATATAATATAAGAAAATAATTTTAGATCATATGAAATAATTTAATTTGCGTATAAATAAACTTGAGAAAGATAAGAAACAAAAAAAATATTATTTTATATTTAAAAAAAACTTTACATTAACGATAATTCACTATACATATATATATAAAAAGAAATGAGAAAAAATGTACAATGATCCTTGCAAACTTGAGAAGAGAAAAAAAATTTCGTGTCCTTGACTTACACAAGGAAATCCACTTTTGACATTTCTCCTTAATAAATATCCATCTATAATAGGTTCATAGTCACGTGTTTAATTAAAATTTTTCTTGATCTGATATTTCTATGAGAGATCGTTAATTACTTCCAGAAATAACTTCAAGTTTAAATATTAATGAAGGCAAATTACATCTTGATTATTAGATATTGTATATTATTCTTCATAAAAAGTGTACAAGTTTCAAGGTGTACAGTCAGAAAAATTTTATTTTATGATTTCTACGGATGCATCGAAATTTTTACCATTAGTTAGAATTTTCATTTTAAAGAATTGTTATGTCATAATTATTTAATTAAAATTTTTTTTTATTATTAATTTTTCCTAATCTAAGAACTTATAATTATTCCCTTCTCTAATTTCTCAATTTAACTTAGTTAAAGAAACTAAGTTGGGGAGAGGATATTAAATGAATGAAGAAAATGATAATTAAACAAAAGATTATTTATTAATTATAAGAATGATATTTTCTTAATAATTAATAATAACATTAATAATATTTAATAATTAATTAATAATTAATCATATAATCTTCTTATAACACCTGATCTCCTAAGATTGGATCTTCTATGGAAATTATATAGAAACTTTTTTGTATGTGGATCTTTTGGCGGGAACAGCTACCCTATGAAGCTATTTTTCTAGAACGGGACCTCACAGACGTAAAAAGTACTGATGACCCTCTTAGTAGTAGTGGTTCACGTAATTTAATTAAACATTAACGATCAAGAATATAACATTCTAATATAATTTAAGAAAATTATCCATTTTGTTACATATCATAAAAATATGATAGTAAACAATTGATTAAATTAATTATTAAAATAATTAATAAATTAAAGAATCGTTGAAGATTTAAGAATTGATTCTAAAATAAAATCCAAGAACATATAAACAAATCTGTGGAAAATACCTGTCAAGCGGAATCAATAAAACGTTTAAACTCAAATCACTTGAGTGGGCAGCTTAAATTTTTCCATATAATCCGATAACTAGTCAGATTGCCTCGAGTCCTAAAAAAAAAGATACAATCTTACAAACATTATTAATTTCTATCATCAGACAATTATATTGCGATTGAATTTTTCCACAATATGCCAATCAAATTCAATAGCTTGCTCAGTTTTAGATTGCTGTTTTTTATTTCTTCTTTAAGAAGAATGAAATAAAATTTTTTTTTATAAAGTTGATTTTACGACCAAGATATATTAGGGGTCACCGTTTTCAATGTCCCTGACGCAAAAGAAATACGATTATAATTATCATACATAAAAGTATGATTGCGTCTAAGGCTAGACTTATAAAAAAAAAACAATAATATACCTCTGATGATCATTTACGACTAATCGATCTTCAATTAAATTCTACATATTTCTAGATACATTTACAAATTGATTTTAGACTGATTCTACAAAAGGGGAATTTTATTTTGATTATTAGCAATTTAAAAAGAAATAGTAGGATATATTTTTAAAATAATTTGTAAACTTATGACATAATTTTATGTCACACTTTGTTAATTTGCAATTTAAATTAGAGTCAGTAGTCTATCATCTCGTCTATGTAATATATTTGTGTCTAATTAACAAAAATAGAAAAACTTTACACAGCTCAGTAATTTTGTGACATAATAAAGTATACCCTATGAACATCAAGAATATTTATGAGCTGACAAGTAAGAGTTATTTGCTTTTAGTTAATAAAAATTTGAACGTCTTCGATTAAAATTAATTTTTTTAGCAGAATTTAATTTCATTCGAGAATTTAAATGCCGTTAATATTTTTTAAAAAAATTTGAAATATAAATTTTGTACATGATCTTTGAAATTTATATTTTCTAATTTATTTTCTTAATAATACATATATGATCTTATCTTTTTCTTTTTTTTTTATCAAATATTATTTGCAATACACTTGACTAGTACAAAAGAGAGTTAATTAACATTATGGAATTTTATTCTTTTATTTCAAATAACGGGAATGTTTCCTAAATTCGTTATAGATATAACTTTTATTATATTGAAAATATTAAATCAATTTTTATTATTCGAATGAAATTGGATGACTGTCTAAAATATAACAAAAACACTTATTTGGCCACAGAACAAGAGTAAAAGGAAAAAAAGTTGTTTCTTGCGCACGATGGTGACGTAGATAGTTTGTTTTGATATAAAGACCAATGATCTGTGCGATTGTTAGAAACGAAAAAAAAGTTATCAATCAACATGTCATCTTTCATTTTGCGTCTAAACGATTAGCAAATAAGATTATAGTAAGAATTTTAGAAATAGAAAATTTACTATTAAATACAATAATTGTGCGTCTGTTTGCAGAAAAATTTAACATCATTTGTTTGTTTCTAACACACGTATCATTTAATCAAAATTGATTACTTTTTTTGCATTTTAATAATAAAAATACAATAAATTAATTTATTTAGTATATATTAAGTATATAATTACGATGTAATTAATTATTATTATTATTATTTTTTTTTGCTTAGGGACTTTTGGGAAATCTGAATACAGATACCTTGGCTTCGAATTAATTATTCAACGTGTTTTGTATTTAAAGTTATTTATTAACAAAATATATAAAAACGTAAATTTCATTCTCATATCGTAATATGCTCATCCAGATTTATTCTCATCTTCCTGAAACTTTAATTCATATTCATTTGGAGTTAAGAGAGGATCAATTCCAAATTTTTTCATTTGAACAGCAATGTCAAAAATGTAATCATAACATTCTGTCCTATGTAGGAGAAAAAGAAAAAATTAATTCCAAAGAATTTTTCAAATTAAAATTTTATAATTTAAATTGATAATTACATTGTTTTTGCTTGTTGCCAAGTATCTCCCCATACGTAAACTCCATGTCTGCGAACTAATACAGCACAAGTCTCAGGATATTGATGAATTACTTCGGCTAAGCGATCTTTTAAATCTTCTTCAAATGGAGTATTCTCAATAATCGGGACAACAAGTTCTTCGTCATATCTTAAAGATCGACCAAGTTTTTGATTCTTGATGCCTTAAAATAATGGTTTAGATTAATTTGTATTAACTCTCATTTTAAAAGATAAACAGATTTAAATTATTACCTTTTATCATTTCCAAATGAGTAACACGGAATTCTTTTCCAGGCCACAAAAGTGTCACCATTACAGCAAATTTTGAATGGGTGTGAATTACAGCTCCAGCATTTCTTAATTTATAAGCGCACATAAAAAGAGGAGTGCATTGTGATTTTTTCAATTTTTTCTCAGATGGTGGTAATTCTAAATCATTTCCCTCTATATTTTGAACGAAAATTTCATCCGGGTTCATTCGTTCCTTTTGCACACCTGAGGGTGCAATGTATATCTTTTCTCTATAAATAAGAAGTAATAATAAAAAATACGTAATTAAATTTTCTGCAGGGACAATTTATTTCTAGATGGTATTAAAAGATTGGGTGCTATAAATAGAAGCTATAAGTAGAAAAATTAAATAATAAATATAAGAATAATAAAAAATAATTACCTACTGTTTTAAAAATACGCAGTCGTTTAAAATATAACATTTTTATATACAATTAATCACAAAATTTTACAAATAATATATAATAAACAGATTTTTATTAATTTATTATTTACTCATGTCTTATTGAGATTCCACCACCTGTACCAGTAACCCATTCTAAATCATAAAATTGTCTACATAATTCTGGTATCAAATTTCGAGGATGTTCCTACAAAAAATGTTCTTTTCAAGACAAATAAACATAATTGTCATATATATACGTAACTGAATTTATAATTTTTATTCAATAAATTTCTTATATTGAACAAAATCTTAGAACTAGCACTGTGCTAGTTTAAAATTCGAACAAACTTTGCTCCTATCAGAATTTTTAATTGATTTTTTTGGGTCGTTGATTACGAATTTGAAGTCAGCGACCCCAAAAAACCCACGAGTAACGTATTTCAAGTAAATCCGGTGAATTTTTAAAAATTCGTCCGACATATTGGACCCGACATTTTGAATTTTGCAAAACTGAAAGCATATTCCTAATCAACGACCAAAAAAACCCCGAGTAATGGATTTCAAGTGAATTTGATTGTCTTTGATTAGGAACAAATTGATTTTTTTGTAATGGACCAAAAATATATATATAATGGCGCATATTTTGAAAATTTTGATCCAACTTTGAAAAACGACATATTAAATTCAGCGTGCTTAAATTAGGTTTATTTGATAGGTGCAAAAGTTTGTTTAAATAAAAAGTTCTCGATTCGAGCACAGTGTAATCGGAAAATTAATTGTTACAAAAATTAAAAATAAGCATGTTCTTATAAAAAAATATATAGCAAACTGAAATATAGAAATATGCGCGCAAAAATTTTATTTATCATTGTAAACAAAGATTCTCCAAAATACAATTTTGTATCCTCAATCCATATAACTATTTTCTGTTTATAAAAATTAAACGCGTACCTTTGCATAATTTTCGTCGTAATAGTTCATTATTTTATATATTTGCCTTTTTTCTCCTTATTAAATGACTTGTAATTAAAATGATTATCAGTTCGAACATGGAGAATAGACTTCTCATAAAGAGAGATAAACTATAATAATGTGGTGATTTCTATGAACGTCGCCTTAATGATTGTGAGCGCGCCTTAGGATCCCTCTCTACTTATTGAGTTTTCTAGTAATATTTTTCGCACCGTTGTTTTGCAGCCATTGATCTGGTAATTACCATTGATTCTGTTTCGGCTATTTGTTTTTATAATTCATTTACATAGAAATCATAGGTAATTGAAAATTGATTTTTGGCAATCTAATGGGAATACCTTTTGATAATAACAAATAACTAATTTCCCATATAGATACCACCAACGCACGCATGTCAAGAAATATCTGTCAGTGTTTTCATTAACATAACCTGAATTTAGTATGAGAATGATTTTTAAATAAGATTGAAAATAAATAATTTATCCATTAAAAATGAAGTTAAAGTTTAATTAAAGTTACAATATTGAAACACTCATTGAAGAAGACATATTAAATACTTTAATTTCTAATAATGTAGGTAGATTTAACGAGACAATTTTAAGGTTATATCAAGAATCAAGTTTCATTATTTATAAAAAATATTGACAAAAAAATGAAAATTAAAAAAAAATAAATAATTTTAAAAATTGTTTGAAAGTAATAAATAAGAAATTCAAATACAAATCAAATTTGTGCTTTTTGGTTATATGTTAATAGACTGCAAAATTCTATAACGTTCATTGTTTTCAAAATTTCTAAACATCCAAATAAATAGGCATAAAGCTGAATTCCCATGTCAACGTAAAGGTTGGTTTCCATCGAAGTGAAGAGCGCGAGCGCTCGTAATAGACTGACGAGAATCAAAATGGCGATAACAGTGGAAAAACTAAATTCAGCTGCCATGAATGAAGAGAAAGAGGCAGTGTAAGTTGAAAAAAGTTATATTATTACATTTATATTTAATTACAATTTTTGATTTGTTTTCAACAAACCTTCTATTGAAATTAATTTTTCTTTCTAACTCTTGACATGTAAAAATAACCTATATAAAATTCTATTTGCGGCGGTAATTTCTAATAGACATTTGTCTATTATGAAATATTTCAAATAACAGAAAATGTAAATAATATTCATATTTTTATTGCAGAATGGCCCGTGTCAATTATAATTGGCTAGATATTACCCAGGATTTTTTTGAATCTATTAAAGGTAATGTAAGGTTATATTAACAATTACAATTTCAATATTTATATTAAATGTGTTTTTTATTCTTTGTTTTGACTTTATAATAATTTATTTTTTTTTTTAAGTCAGGGAATTTCAGAAAATTTCATTCAAAGTCAGGGAAATTTCTGTAAATTTCTACAAAAATTAAAATTTTTTGTGAATTTAAAAATTTTTTAATCTAAAAAAACTTAAATGGTTTTTATTACCATTTGTTACTACTATTAGAAATTAATTTATTGTTAAATATGTCAGTAAACATATTTTTGTCCAAAGAAAGCAGAAATAAGGTTATTAAAAAGTCAGGGAAAAATAAAAAAATGTCAGGGAGGAGTCAGGGAATTTTTTTCTCAATCCTTGTTAGACACCCTGATTTATAATTTATTTATTATTTATAATAGTTTTACGTTAGAAACTAAAAAATTGATTAATGATTTATTTTGCAAACAGATTTGGAATTAGGTGAATTATTACATGACGAATTATTTGGCCTCTTTGAGGCAATGTCAGCGATAGAGATGATGGATCCAAAAATGGATGCAGGGATGCTGTGTAATAGAGGAAACAATAAGCCATACACGTTTAATCAAGCTGTAGATTCTGGAGCAATACAATTGGATAATTTAAAAGTTGCAGATGTGATAGCGATAATTGATTCAACATATGCTTGCATAGTTTCGTGGCTTGAGGGCCATAGCTTAGCTCAAACAGTTTTTACAAACTTATATTTACATCAACCTAGCCAAATTCAAGACAAGCCTTTAAAAACATTTTGTTACGCTGTTTTTAAAATAATTGAAATCATTAAAGATTGCATCACTCGAGCTTTAGTCTTTGAGGAAGAGGATTTTCAAAGTTTTATGTATGATTATCGACTTCAACAAGATATTACGGAGCAAAAAACAGTTTCAATGTTGAGAGAAGTCGAAGAAGAATTACATAGAAAAAGTCGTATAAAACCAACGACCGAGGAAAAAGAGAAGGAGGTAAATAGCACAAATTTTAATTACTTTAAAGAAGTAAAATCTTCATTTCAAGAACAAAAACTAATTAACTAATAATTAATTTTTGAAACAGTATAATGATGGACTAGCCCTTTACGCAAGGATGCGATTTACAAAGATGTTTTATCAAACATTAAGTTTCTTGGGCAAAAAGGATCAACTTCATCAAAATTTGACTGATTGTCAAAGACTTCTTTCAAATTGCACTGATATGATTCAAGTTATGATACGAACTGTAGATCGTGGATCCAAAGCAGATGAAATAAGTATGCAACCAATATTATCTTCGTTAATTATTTGAATTTTTAAATAACAGAGAAAAATTCCAATTGTTTTTTTTAAATTTATTAGTTACTTTTCAAATTGATAACTCTTTTTTTATATTTCAGCCGATCATCCAAATATTATGGGTTTTGATCCCATGGTAAACCAAAGATTGCTTCCTCCAACTTTTCCAAGGTACACCAAAATAAAGCCACGAGTTGAGGCCTTGGAATATTTGGATGAATTATTAAATCGTTTAAAAATGGTTATAAAAATTACTGGTTATACCAACTTCCATGGTGCTTTAGTAGGTTGATTTACTTTATTACTTTTTTAAAAATTGCATATTAACTAACTGATATAGTTTGATGTTATAATTGGTTTTTGTTTTTAGGATTTCTTTTTAGAATTTTCACGTCATAGTCCTTGTATTTTATCAAGATCGATGTTACAAATAGTTTATTTGCCATCAACTAGTCGTGTGTTCGGTATACAAAGCTTTAATGATGTATTAAGGGATGCAGCGAGAAATTTCATTGCTCCACCTGCTCTAATGCCTAAAAATACATTGCTACAGAATCATCAAGCAAAGGAGTGTGTCGATACTTTCTTAAATCATTGTGCCAATTTATTTGGAAATTTATTACAATTAAGTGGACACAATAGAGCAAGACAGCGAGATAAATTAGCACATTTACTCGACGATTTTGCTACTCTTCAAGATGAGGTTTCTTTAATAATTTCTTAATAGTTAGAGATTTTTTTTTTATAACGCTAGATGTTTTTAAAAAAGTAGTTGAGACCAAAAATTGTCTCAATAAAAAAAAATCGTTTAAGGGCTGAAAAAACTTGTACACTCTTGTAATTTCGAAAGCAGATGGGCGATTTCAGAAATTCAATATGGTGGCGTCTGTAGATGTGATATAAGTCATTAATGTCACGATTCGACAAATACAAACATGAATAAAATTTCCAAAATTAATTAAATTGAATCAAAAAATACATTTTTAAGCATTTTTGGGGTCGCTGAATACGAATCTGAAGTCAGATTTTAAAAATTCAAAATGGCGGATCCAAAATGGCGGTCGTTTTGGAAAAATTTAATATTTTTCGTCATAACCGGTTACTCGGGGGTTTTCGGGGTCGCGGAATACGAATTTGAAGATAGATTTTAAAAATTCAAAATGGCGGTATTTAATTTAACCTATGTAAAAGAGAGATATAAATATCAGTTATCAAATCTGTCATCAGATTCGTATTCATTAAACGATTTTTTTTATCGAGACAATTTTTGGCTATAGCTCTGTTCCGTTCGACGTTTGAAGTAATCGATTTTTGAACTATTACTTTTAGGCTGAAAGAGTTGACGGTTATATGCATACGTTATCATTGAAAAGTGATACACCTCGACCACATTTAGCATATTTTGGTACCTGGATTTTATATCACACATTACGAGTTATGGTCATGTACTTGTTGAGTGGCTTTGAACTTGAATTGTACTCTGTTCATGAATATCATTACATTTTTTGGTATTTGTATGAATTTTTGTACGGCTGGCTAGTCTCGGCAATTACGAGAGCAGATTCATTTTTAATGGAACAAGATATTCACAATGAGACACACAAAGGAAGAGGAGGTAAAAAGAGTGCAAAAAATAAAAGAAAAAAAGTCGCTCCTAGACCTTATAGTTTAGAAATTTTAATGTATCAAGCAATGCAAAATATTTGCGGTGGTTATTATAAGGTAATTATTTTATTATTATTGTTAATTAATTATTGTTAATTAATTATTATTAATTAATTATTAATCTTTTTATATTTTTTTTCATTGTAAGGCCTTGGTGGGCTTTCGACTAGATGGAAAGATTCCACTTCCTGAGATGCAGTTCGATTCCGAAAGAGTGAGATACGAACATAGATTATTACCTTTTTCGTCGCTTCTTACACCACCTCCAGTTCACTATCAAGAATTTTTGGACATGACAAATGCACAAATAGAGAAAAGTAAAAATGTAAGAATTTCGTTAACTATTATTGCGTGAAATACCAGAGAATGTGCAACATAACATTTTTTTTCAGTAATATTCTTTTTAATTCGACAATATAGAATAGCAATTTTTTATAAATGAAAAAAATTTTTCTTTCAGTCTCTTTATGATCGGTTTACGAGTGAAAATCAATATTTAGCGGGTTGTCGTCATTTTCATCATGCGAGAAATATGTTGGAAAAAGCTTCAAGCCTCTATCCTGCCAATTCGAATACCGTTAGCGAGGTAATTTATATTTCATGCTTATTAGTATTTCACTTTAAATTAATTAATTTGTTGCGTATGAAATTTAATTTTTTATGTTAGTAATTAGAATTAAATTCAATTCTATAACTTATAATTAGCAGCTTATTAATAATTTTATTTCTATATGCAATAATTTTTTTCAATTTCAGATAAAAGATTTATTGAAAGTAGCGAAAACAAATTTTATTGTTCTAAAACTTTTGGCGGATGGACACAAAAAGGACTCGAAAGATCCTCCATTGTTTGATTTCTCATGTCATCAGCACTTCCCGTTAATAAAACTTACATAAACTGACAATTGTTATATGTATTTTTGTTATATAATAATTGAAGTGATAAATTATTTATTTTTTAGTAAAAATTTAATTTTGAAGCCAATATTTGTTTTAATTAAATTTTAAGTAACTAGTAATGTGTATAGTTCCTTTATTTGCCGAATAACAACTTGAAAAAATGTAAATCTTCGTGAATCATTCATGTGTGATTTTCTACGTTTCAAATCTGACAATCTGAACAAATTTCCCCATAACTTTAAAAAAGGCTCATATATATATAATATAAATCCATTAAAATAGTAAATATAATTCTTTTAGATTGTAGGCGAGTCAAATTAATAATAAAATTATGCGCAAAGCGACGTTTGAACATCTTTTTGATCTAGACGAATAAATTTTAAGTTGCAGTATTTTTTTTAGGAAAAAATATATTATCGCTGAAAACGTATGTTGTTTGTAAAAGATTGTAGAACATGTGAACTGTATGATATATAATTGAAAGAACTGCATTGTGCATTTTGTAGATATAGAATAAAATGTATTTTGCAGAAATATTAGATAAAAATTGTTTTTTTAAATTAAAAAAATAAATGTTTAATTTTATTTTTTTATTCTTCAATTGTTTTTTTATCTTAACATTTACGGTTATGTTATTTTATTCGTCTTACTATTTTTTTGTTCGAAAAGGAAAATTAATAAAATTTCGTTAATTTGGAAATTTGTGAACTTGAAGGAAAATTCTTTTTTTTTTAAAAATGGGAGTGATTGATAAAGAAGGAATTAATTGTAAAAAACCATTTATTGGAGGGTGGAGACATAAAGTAAATGGTACAGAATATTTAAATGCAACATCCCAAACTGGTCCAGGTCCAAAAAAAATACAATGGAGTTCCATGATAAGCAAAAAAGTTCAATGTACGGAGACAAAGGAGAATTTCACTCAGTCAGTTCGACATCAAATATCACAAACGTGGAGGTGAAAATTTTTGTTTAAAATTTCTAACTAAACATATTTTACAAATAAAGAATTTTATTTAGAAATGATTGCTGTGTTTCAAGCGAAAAGGATAGATATTTATCGATTAGACCATATGAGACTCACGAGGAGATGCAAAATCGATTAGATTTTGATGGTCATGCTCGTGTTATTCAGAAAAATTATAGAGCTTATAGAATTCGGATATTCATTAAAGAATCTGCAAAATTGTACAGGAAATTGTTAGAAGACGAAAAAGTTGAAGAACAAGAAAGCAAAGCAAAACTTGAGTAAGATTTTCATATTTTTACAAGTTTTTTCAGTTGGAAAATTTTATCAAAAAATTCACTGTCTCGCAAATTTTCCAAAAAGATAATAAATATTTTCAGGAGAAGATTTCAAGAAGAAATTATTCGTATGACTTATCCGCGAAGCAGAATGGACTTTAATATATTGTACAATTTAATTGATGTTTGGAATGAAATGCAAGTGAATGAAATTAAAAAAAAATACTTTAAATCTGGACAATGTGCAATGCAATATTCACTTTTAGAAAAGACAATTTCTATGCTTAACAATGTTGATAAACATCGACAAAAAGTTCGTGATGCCAATAGAATAAGAAATGTGAAATTTTTAACAATTCACTGTCAACCTATTCGATGGAAGGGAAATAATGGAAAACCCATTGAAATGATAACGTTAAAAACACAAAAGGCACGAGAGTACGAAAAAATGTATATCGATTTGAAAAATAATGATACAACTCGTGAAAATCGTATAGAAATTTTATTAAAAACAAAAAATTTCCTTAAAAAATTTTATTGTTACACTGTTGAAGAACTTGTTTATCTAATCGATCAAGAAATAATTTTATTGTCAAGAAAAATTAGAGGATTATTTCTTGATAATTTAAGGAACAGAATAGTTGGTATATGTTATTTAATATTTTCTTAAAATGTTTTTCCTAATTTCAATAAATTAATATTGAAGTAGAACGTAAGATAATTTATTTCTTGCAGGTGCTTTCTTAAACTTTTTGAAAAATGGAGAAACGTTCTGTAGTGAATGTACGAGCGACTCACTGACAAAACAGAGTTTAGAAGAATTACGAGAGCCTTTGGAGACGAAAACTTCTTGGTGCAGTAGTTGCAGAAAGTTGCTTCCTAGCAACAAATTTTTTGCTAACGTTAGAACGCGCAAATTGGTTCAATGCAAAAGTGAGTGAAAATTCATAAATGTAAATGTTGGTTTTCTCACAAAATACTTGATAGATTGAGCTAAAATTTTGCGAAGAACTAAAAATACTGAAATCGGCGTTATATACTAGTATTAACATTTTGTCAAAGAATGTATTTTTAAAATTGTATCCCTTTTCTACAGGTTGTGCTTGGCTGACGAAGAAAAATATTCCGCACGTAAATTACGATTTATATTCCTTTATGTTAAAAGATATTCGTTCTGAAGAGAGAAGGATGAATTGCTTTTCAAGTTTAGCTTATGTCATACAAGAATCGGATATATACTACCTCATAAATCACACGTGGCATGGTCGCTCAATTGTCAGCGAAAACAACGATCTGTACATTTTGAGATTAATCCGCTTCGACGTTAACGCCGAGTGGGCTCCCTGGAATTGCATTCTGTTGACAGAGGACGAAGCTAAAACGCATTATCACATCAAAAAAGTCGATTCCCTTTACTCTAGAACTTTACTGCAAACGGTTTACTTAAAGCACCTAGCGGCTAAATTTCAATTCAAGTACGACACCCACTCAGTTTTATGCTAATTTTTAATTAGGAAGCTACCCTTGCGTCAATCCTTTTTAACCTCTATATTTCCAATCTTGGAGAAAGTCTTAGGTATTGTAAATATCATAAATATGCTGATGATTTTAAAATTTATTTGTCGGGACCATTATCTGCTTTTTTCTGAGATCTTCATTTAAGATAAATGGTACTCCTATCTATATCATACAGTGAAATAGTTAAGGACCTTGGTTTAATGATTAACTGAATATTAGGCGTTTTCCAGATTCTTACTATGAGCGCTCAGTGAGCATGAAAAGGTTCTCAACTTCATAAAAGTAGTTTAGTTTCATGGATTCTGATTGGATAAAATATTGCAATTAAGAAGTGCGTGTAAAACAGGCTACATTTTTTCATGTTTTTGACCAAAGTAGGTGTGCTTGTTCTGTTGTTTTTTAGGAACTTATTTTGTTTACAACTTTGTACTGAGCAAACGACTTCGTTCAAACTGCTTAAGGTCTGAGCAGAATAGAAACCTAACCGGAATCGTAATCACAACCGGAAGAATGAGTTAGAGAAGGATAGACACATTGTTTGTCCTTCTCTAACTCATTCTTCCAGTTGCGTTTGCGATTACGATTCCGGTTACGTTTTTATTCTACTCAGGCCTTTAGGCAGTGCTAAGAATCGAATGGCTTAGCACGAGTTTCGATAAAATTTGTCCAGTACAAAGTTGTAAACAAAACAAGTTTCTAAAAAACGACTGAACAATCATACCGCGGTTTTAGTAAATCTGGAAAACGCCTATTATTATGGAAAGAACATATTTACAATATTTCGCGTAAAACATTTTTGGTTTTGCAACAGTTGAATAGAAACAAAGACTTTCTTCCCTCTTCAACTCGCTTATTATTAGTTAAATCTCACATTTTCCTCTTTTATGATTACTGCTGCCCTGTTTATGATGACATTACTGATGAGTTGAATAATAAGCTGGAAAGAGCATTGAATACCTGCATCCGTTTTGTGTATGACTTACTTAAGACTGAGCATATCATCCAGTTTAGAGTTAAATCGAAATTATTAAATGTTGCGACTAGAAGACAAATATTAGACTCCGAGAAAGAAAAGATATCCTAATTGTACCCAATATACATTTAAAAGATTATTTTTTGATTTTCTATTTAAAACCAATGATGGGTTTTTCAATATTACATATTGGTAACCTTTGCTAAATTGAATTGTTTTTGCTATAATTTCTATTTCATTAAATAAATAAATTATATTTTATTAACAACTGAATAAACATTTTATCAACGGGAGGCGTCGACATAAAACTTGATTTAATTCATTAGCTTACTTCGTTTAATAGATTTCTGTTGTTGATGTGTATAAGGGAATTATTAAAAAGGTATAAATTGTATTCTTCTGGTAAATAGAAAACAGATTGAACGTTAAGTAATAAAATGTAGAGTTTCGAAACGAACAACTCTGCAGTAGAATCCCCAAGATAGTTTCTCATAAGAACGTCGTTGGCATTAAACTTGCGAATTGCACCTTTGGGTCTTAGTAGGTATAAAAGTGGGAATGTTCACGCATAAAGTGTGACTTCCGGATTTGAGTGCGTCACGCTTCTACTCTATTATTTTTAGTTTCTCTTTTGCTATAAAAGTCAAAAAACCTGCTTCTTATCATCAATAATGAAATTACTTCCTCTTTTTTATGACATCTTTTCCAGTTTTATAACTTCACAAAATAATAGAACATCTTTCTTTCTTTCTCTCTCTCTTTCTCTTACATTTATCAATTTTAAAGTTAAAATATCGTTAAAACTTTATTACAAAAAAATAATAATTAACCTAATTTTTTTTAGAAAAAATATTTTATTCTACTTTGCTCTTATTTTAATTTTAATTTTCTCGTATTAATTAATGTAGATTAATTGTATTAAAATTCGTTGTTTTAAGATAATCTATGTTTACGCAGGAATTTAATAAGATTGGAAGCCCAGTAGAAAAAAAATTTGAAAAGTATTATTTAAACTAAAAGCAACAAGATTTCCACCCAGCCAGCATAGAATTATGAAAACTTAATTAAGTAAATGTTTTAATGAATAAGAGAGTACGAAAATAATAATTTATTAACATATTATAAAGTTTACAAGAAACTGCGAAGACTATAATGAAAGAAACAAATAACGTGCATGCTTGTGAATCGACCAAACCAGTTGCCGGTGGCAACGTCGGATTTTGGATTTAAGCTTTTGAACGTTGAAAGCTCTGTTCCTGGTGGCACGTATTTCTGTTCTCGTTTTTCACCACTATTTTTATATTTTTTTTACACTCAAAAAAATCAAGTGAATGAAATCTGTAAAATCTTGGATTTTTACAAATAAACATATTCAATATGAGTAAGCTTTTACAATTTTTATTAAATTAATATTTGTTTAATAATAGAACAGGATAATCATTTCGAAGTAGAGTTGTTTTAACTAAACTTAGATTTTCAAAATGGTAACGCTAATCAAATAAATATTTATCATAAATATTTATTACTTAGCTTCCATGAGATTACGTTTTTTAAACTGGACCTACAGTCAGACGAATTCAAAAGTTCTATTGGATTGGAATCTATCGATTATTTTTTAAAAGACTGTGACGCGTGCTAAAATGAATACGTATGAAAGTAGAGTGAGAACATTAGGAAGTTGTGAAATTATCATCTTTCATAATTATCTGGCTTCTCTTGTGTACATTTTAGTGTCGTAGTGCATTTACGTGCAAAGCTCCTGAAGCATATTTTGCAGTTATAAGTAACTTCAGTTTCCATCTAAAGGAAGTCCATGTGCTTGCATCAGATTTTCGAATAATTAATCTCACTTCCTTTTAAGACAAAATCCACTCTCATCTACAGCTATAGACCGACATAATTTTATCATCTCAGAATTAAATTCCCAAGGAGATTTTTTATTTATTAATTAATACTGTAAGTAAAATTTTTAAAAATGAGTAAAAACAGTAGAAATTAAAAAACGTCAGTAGAGAAATAAATTATGTGAATTAAATTCAAAAATATTTATATTAACTTTTTAAAAATCATATCCCTTTGTACGTATTGTACGAACGTTCAATCAATAAATTTGCCAGCTTAAAAATGGAATTTGAAAGAATTCAAGATTTTACTATTTTTCGAGTTATTTTTCTGTCACGGGAAAATTGAATTTGGAATTTTTCAACAGATTGAAACCATCCAGCCAAGGCTTTCTCCATTGAATACCTTAAGCTCATATATTTGATGAAGTAAAAATGGTGGTGGTAGTGGAAATAGAAGATCGTGCAGAATCGAAGAAACCTTTCTTGGGTGGTTGGAGGAACGTCTCTACGAGTCAGGAATATCATAATGCGAGAACACAAACTGACCCGAGGGATATGAAATTTTCAAACAATCGGAAGACTATTGGAATAGCGAAAAGCACGCAAACTATTCATATTTTTAGTCGTTGTATTGCAACCTTCTCTAATAAAGCTACACAATTCTCGAAATTACCCAGTTTACTAGATAAATTTCTTGAGCCTGAGCATAAGACATTCAGTTCAAGGGTGAAGTCACGCAATGAAGAGGAATGTGCTTCAATGATACAACGGTTCTATAGGTATTGTAATCGAAAAAACTTTCTATTAGAAAATAATTAAATTATTTATTAATAATAAAATTCTTTATTTTTAATTATATTCAAATATTTCATCAAATATTTAATACAGTTTGTTTGAAATGTTGATACAAGTAGGAAAATAAAGAATGCATTATTTTCTTGAGTATTGGGATTCTTGGAATGCATATTAATTCGCTTTTTCAGTTCTTCATATGACGAGGTAAAGTTCATTTGCTTATTGAAGGAAAACAATTGTTTTTCTAACCCTATAAAATCTTCAACCAAACTTAATGCAAAATTTCTCTGACAATCTGACTATCGTTAATAAAAACATGAATATAAAAATTCACACGAAATTCGTACCAGGAATCGGTTCCATACAGATTTCTATGTGAAATACAAAGAAAAATTCAACCGTGTTGAAAAAATGCTCATGGAAATTTTTCATCTGTACGGAATTTCCTGCGGAATGTCGTACGTGCTTTCGCTATAAATTTTTGTGGCGTTGTGAACCGATTCCTCGTACGTTTAAATTCTTAATTTTAATACTTATTTTATTAAAATAAATACATTATTTAGACAATACAATTTTTTATGTAAGTATGTAATCATTGCTTAAAGGCACGAACTTTAGAAAACACATTACAAGTCGCGCATTGAAAAAATAAAATGATAAAGATAAGACTTAACAGCAAACGATAATTTAATTACTTAATTTTTTAGTATACTTAGCGGCGTGATGATAGTTTCGTTTACCCCAAACACCTAACTTAGTGTCACCATTTTTTAGGGTTCCGTACCCGAAGGGGAACGAATTTATCTAGAGGGCTGAAATTTGGTATACCAATTGAACCTAAATTGCAAGAGAATAAGAACAATCAATTTTATTCCATTTTTTTAGATAGAATGTTTTCCTGGAAAATGAAAAATCCCTTACAAAGTCAAATAAAATTAAACAGCATCTCTCCATTATTTTTTTACCTTAGAACATCACATATTACCTTCAAAAAACCCTACCAATTGAACCTAAATTGCAAGAGAATAAGAACAATCAATTTTATTCCATTTTTTTAGATAGAATGTTTTCCTGGAAAATGAAAAAATCCTTTACAAAGTCAAATAAAATTAAACAGCATATCCCTATTATTTTTTTACCTTAAAACATCGCATTTGAAAAAGATTTATTATTTTAAACAAGGACTCTATTTGTACTCTTTGCAATGGCTATTGGAGGAGGAGTAATAGCCTGATGAGTTCATTAAGTCACACACCCCCAATATCCAAATTTTGCCAAACTCAAAGGGTACAAAGTTGTCTGCATATTAATTACAGATTCTGTCTCAGAATTAACGTAGTGAACCCGGTGCGTCCAGAGTGACTTCAAATTTCTATAATTTAATTAATTAAGGTCTACAATATTAAAATTTAAAATCTAATATTTCACAATCTTATATATCTAAAATAATAAATAATAAAATAAATAACAATAAATATATAATGAAATTAATTAATATGATAATAAGAAAAACAATTTATTTATAAACATATAATATATTCACTATGCAGAATGGTTTTGTCAAATAAAAAGAAAGACACTCATAACAAATAAAATGAAAAGAACCTAATGAAGAAGAGAGCGATTTCTCAGGAAGGGAGTAATGATAATGAATAGAAATATGAGACCGGAAAAGAGGATCTTCTGGATGAGGAAATTTTTAATTTCCTTGGAGAAAAAGTCTCTGAAGCAAATATGAGAGAGGTGAAATTACACTCTCAGAATATTTGTAAAAAGACTTATTTTATAAAAAACATTTTTTTTAAACGAAATCTAATTTCGATTACAAATGATTTAACAATTTAGTTGATACAGTAATAAAATTAGGGGATGTAAAATTTCATAAGAAAAATATACAAATTGTGGAAAATATATATTATTGAAAGATTAATTAATATTAAAAATAATAATAATATGAAAATAAATTAATCATTCAATAAGAAATACCATATATTAAAAAATCCTAGTTAACACTAGAACAGACTTTAATTCATTAAGTGATCCATTAAAATATTATTTATAATAGCAGAATTCTTAATTTTCAGATCCTATCGACAGAGAATGAATACACGAGCGCTGACAAAATTCTTTCGTGTATTTGAGGAAGAATCAAATTCTTGTAAAGAATTAAGAATATCTGAAAAAGTCTGGAATGACACAGAATTCAAGATGATTCGACCGCAATTACCGAGAAGTAAAGCGGATTTTGATCTGGCGCTTAACGTGCTGGATCGTTGGCGCATTAGTGAGATTGAGCGAACGAATCGTGATTTTTTCAGAAGCTCGAAATTAGTAGCTCAAGACTTGATTCTCACGAAGGAAATAGAGTTTCTCCGTGAAATAGATACGGTGAAGTCTCGAGTGAAGAAAGGCATCCATGAAAGTAGAGAGTTTGAGTTTTTAGAGAAGCTCGCAAAGCCTTCGCAATGGAAAAGCTCTGATGGAAGGGTAATTTATGTGCAGACACTGCAAGTTCAGAAGACTAAAGAATACAGAGAACTGTACGAGTCTCTTGTGAAAGCGGAGGCTGCTACGAGTATTGACACACGAATTGACTTACTGGTTGCTCTGAAACGAATCGCCAAAGAACATTCTTGTCAGGTTTCTCGCGATCTCGAGTATCTCATTGATCAGGAATTAGATTTGTTGTCCTTGCATGTAGACGTCCAGATGCTAGACCAACTGAGAAATCGATTGAAACTCACTTTTCTTCGCCTTGTTCAACGCTCGCTGCACCTTTTCGAATATCCAGATACCAGAAACGGAAAGTCCCAGATAGTTTATGGCCAAACAAGGATCTGTAAATCTTGCGGTGAGTTCAATGGAGAATATTTTCTTCTCCTTTTTTCTCTATCAATTTCTATCATTTTGAGAATGTCATAAAAAGTTTATATATTTATGTTTTTTAGAACTATTGGTAAGTACTTCACCTATAAATTATTAATCATTTTTAACGAAAATTGACTTTTTAAAGTATCAAATTGTTCATAATGTCATTGACTACTGGGGTTTAGTTATTATATCTTAACAGTTAGTAAACATGCACTAAACGAAGCCGTTAGAAATGCTATGGTCGAATTATACGATACCGTTTAGTAAGCCAGACTGGCTGGGCAGTAAGACAAACTATTTTGACGTGAAGTTAACATCAAGGTCTTTCTAACAAGTTGGCGTAGTAATTCTAACTATTCTTTTAGTTACAAGAACTTTAGTTAATCAGTTAGTCCTACTATTCGGCTTTAAATCCTTCTGGCTAGAGTTATTTTAATGTATAACAAAGTGCTTCGTTAAACCACCAATTCCCTGGAAATTAAAATGAATATAGAATATAATAGCGAAAGATAACGTTTTTGTGAGACAAGTGGTTGTCTCTCTCTTCTCGCATAGATTTGTCTCGTTTCCTCTTTGCCTTCTTGCTTTCGTTCTGCGTTCAGTGACTTTTGTCAAGTCTTATCAGAAGTGATTATGCGCATGATTAATCCGCGATTAGAGTCAGGTGGTCAACGTCCCTTCCAGTTTTCCCTTCAGATGCTGACCAGTTGGGGATAACGAGGTAACGACGTATCTAGATTTCTGGACTATGGAAGATTTTTTTATGGAGATATTTTAGTATTAGGAAAGATGCGTAATTGCTAATTAATTTTAAACAAATTTAAATATTGGTTTCCAATTTATTTCATTTTCCATTTTGGTTTCACAGGAAGATTGCGAGACATGGACCACTTTTCGTTGGATTTTCGTCAAAAAATAAGCTTCTGTGACAATTGCATATCAATTCAGGAGGGAAATAGAGCCCTGAGAATTGTTTATAAGCCATTTGAGAGAATGTTACGAGACTTGAGACGACGTGAGGCTCAGCTAAAAGCCTATGGAGGTTTAGCTTTCATCGTCGATTTCAAGGTCATTTATCACCTAGTGAACGACATTTGGCACGGAAAGTCGGGAATCACAGAGTGTAACGATCTTGATAAATTGCATGTGGTCCGCTTTCGACAGAATGTCGAGTGGTCGCCTTGGAATTCTTTGGTTCTTACAAAGAGGGAAGCTCTCATGCACGAAGCAGTCGCGAACTTGCACGATGTTTACGATTCCAGCCTCGTGCAAAAGTTTCACGCGAGGAATTTGCAAGCTCGTCTCTATTTCGAGTGAATTACTAAGTTACAAAAACGGTGAACGGCAAGGTATTATATCTTGTGAAGACGATGTTATAAGAAAAGCTTTCAAAGGATGAAACTTTATATTCTAGACTCGATCCTTTTCTAAATAATTTATTTTTTATTATTTGAAAAATCTATTAATCTTATCAAATTAGAAGATGTTATTAAAAGTCTAGGAAAATAATTAATGTAAACATGAAAATTAAATCTAAAGAATAATTCACAATGAAGAAAATAATTACATAAGAAATTGAATAAGAGAATTTTGTTAAAATAAATAATAGTATTCCTATGGTTTTCTTATTGATAGAGAAAAAGTCAATCTTGTCTTAAGAAGAAGAGAACTTTAAGCGGGATCCTTTTTTATATATTTTTTTATATGCTTTCTTCCCCTTACTTCTTCTTTTTAGCTGGATAAGAGCTTTTATGAAAATCTTGAACGCTTCTCGTGCAATGGGATATGTCAGGAGATTTGCTTTTATTTTTCTAACACTTTCTCAAAAACTTTTATATCGTAAAAAATAGTTATGAAACTTTTCCATATTCTTTGAAAAAAGTAGAGGTGATGTTTATAAGAGGGCCTGGATAGGCCCTTTGGTTTAATATTGTTAACTCAATAAGAAAAAAATATTGCGTTTATATTTTGTTGTACTTTTATATATTAAAACTAAGAAATGTTTGCATATTTAATTAATTTATTTATATGTAACAGGGCAGTGCCGTGTTATAAATTATTGTTATTATCATACTATATATTATAATTATATTATGTCTATATTACATATTTATTATTCACATGTTACATTTACTATTACTAGAATTGTCAAACATAATATGTTTTTTGTTTAGTTTCATCTATTAATAAAATATAATTATTATGATTTGAAAAATACTTATACGAAATATAACGCGTTATTTGTAAATTTAATATAAAATCTGAATCTACCATTTGAAGATTTCACATACGTACGCAGAAAGCTATATGTCTGGGAATATGTCCCGAAGGTAATTTTTGTTGAAAGCTAACACGAACTTTAAATCTCGTACAATTTAAAGAATTCTCGTGCGGTGTTGAATCAATAGAATTCTAATGAGAATAGTCATAAAAAAGAATTTTACGGCAGCTGAGCAATTTTTTGTCCTTTCAGTATTTAAAAAAAGTTCTATTTGTAAAATTCCACTAGATTTAAACACTCATTAATATAATAAATTAAATATTTCAAATTAATCAGGATTATCGGAAAAATCTTCGTTTTAATTACAAAAGCGTCATTTGGATCATTAGTTTAATTTCTACTGGAATTTTTAGAACAGATCATTAATTTCTATAAAATCTAATCGAAAAGATTCACAAAACTGTAATTAAATATTAATTAAAAGAGAAACTTTTTTATATATGATGATTAAAGATATGTGTATACCTACTACTTAATAAAAAAATTTTTACATCGTCGATATACAAATCTTAGAATTCTTTCAATATTATTCATAACATTTTTATTTTTTATCCTAAAAAAATTGATTCCGTATCTTCCAATAATAATGAGATAATCACCTATATATTGGTATAATATATAACACTTCATCTTATTTTTCATTAGAAAAATTGATAAATAATTTTTTATTACATTTTTATAAAGTATACTTACGTAATAAAGTTATAACAGAGAAAATTATTTTACTCCTCGGAAGAGTAAAAAAAAACTTCAATTTAATCCGAGCTTTAAAGATTAAATTTCATGACTCCTACTTATTTTTATCGAGTTTTTAAAATTGCTCTATAAGGTAATCGTAAACCTCATTTTTCCATGGAATTCGATCAGCTTTCGTGAAAGTTATTGAAAGGAAATAAAAGAATTACTGTGGTTTTGCATTGAAATGGATTTTCGCGACTTCAGTGTTTTTAAATTAAATGACTTTTAGGAACTCTGTGTACACCGTTCAGACTATAAATAAAGTCGATCTTAACTGCGATATAGACAGGAATATATCAAAGTCACAGACATTCCGCTTTAAATGCAAATGCTAAGAGTACACCGCTAGTGGACTCATTCAAGTTTTTCCTAAGAATTTCAGAATCGTTCAATTTTATTTCTCACTTTTTAATGAAATTTAAATGCTTATCATACATAGGGTAACTGTAGGTATTACTGCGGATACTGTTTTCCAAAAAATATATTATTTACTAGACTACTGAAAAGATTAGCTAAGATTAATATATATTTATCCAACGTTTTGAATATCCTATGAAAACTAAACTTGAATCGGTTGATGTCGAATCGTTTAATAATAATCTCGATCTAACTTGTCACAGCGAACAAGAGGCAATAGATTTGAATATTAATTCCGAATTAGCTTGTCAAAGCGGACAAGAGGGAATAAAATCGAATAAATCAAGCGAAATCGGAACCCATTCGAAACCTTGTATAAGCATAGTAGGAGTGTCATAATCGGCTGATACTGAACCACTTTATAATAATATTCTCGAATTAGCTTGTCACAGTGGACAAGAGGGAATTAAATTAAATAAATTGTGTGGTATCTATATCCCTTCTAGGCCTTACCTATTATAATTTGAAAAAGTAGAAATCCAAGCACTAGTTGATACAGGTTCAGCTTAAACATATGTAGGTGTTACGTTTATATTTAATTTTGAAGGTAAGCGTAGTCAAAAGGTGTTTTATACCTCCGAAGTCGTTAGCAAATATTTTATACAAATGCAATATTAGTTAATCATAGGAGGAAGAGAAGTCATATTAAGTAATTAATTAGTAATTATAATTTCAAAAATTTGACTTTAAAGAAAGCTAATTGAAAGAAAAACCAGTGTCTGTTTTATCAAGAAAGGTCTTAAATATAAAATTTTTTCGAAATTTGATACTTGGGATAAACAGGTGATATAATGAGACTAATTAATTGTTTGAATATTATATTCATCAGATCCAAGCTGTAGCACGTTGACCATAATAATGCTGCCATGGTCTTATTTCAAAATCCCAATTTCATCGATTGAATTAATTTGTTTATGATCTACAAACTACATATTAACGTCTGGAAATTTATTTATATAATGATAATGATAAAATAAAATACGTTAAGTAAGAAGTAAAATGATTAAATGTATTAAGCTTTGTCTTTGAGTGTATAGTCAATACCATTTTTTTATCTAAATAAAAATGATACTTCAGTTTGTATTTCTTTATTACAATGGAGGACGCGTTAAGAGTGATGTTGCATAGATATCTATAACTTTAGATTATGCAAGCTGCACGGAGGACAGTGAGTAGTCGGTGTTGGAGATAGTTGAACCGCGAAAGTTTCCATCGTCAAACTTTCGAATTATCTGAATTTCGGCAGTTTTCAACCAAGTTCAATAATTCGGTAGATGCAGTCGGTTTCAACTTCGTCTCAGGAAACATTCAAAACCCTCAGGGAAGTCTTCTACTCCACTGAAATACCGAAATTACGTGTCCTCGAAAGTTGAAATTAATAACACCGTGACCTAAGATTTAAACGTTCTACTAAATTTATGTTTATTTATTTCACAAAAATTTGATCCATTTAAATACTCCAAATGTTAACAACAGTGTATATCCACTGAGGCATAACTGTGGGAAAGTATAATGTCTTAGATAATACTTTTATATTTTCTCTTCATTCATTCTTTGAGCAAACTTTAGATCGCTATTGATTGTTAAGTTTCATGTGCGTCAAGTTCGTTCCAATAATCGTGCTCCTTTGCAGAGTAAACTTTGAAAGGACTTTGGAATATTAATTTCTATATATTTATTGAAATTATGAAAAATGAATTTGTACATAAAATTTTAGTTTAAAAGTACTTTAATTATTCTAAATATCTACAGTAACTCTGCCTCTTTTCGCCAGATAATATTTAACCAATTAAAGTTCATGATATTTTTTAATAACAGACCATTAAAGTCACGTGTTGCTATCTTTCCTCATCGATTATCGATTAAACTAGTACTGCTTGTATTAGATTATAGTCAAATTCGAATCAATTATAGCAACCCTGTTTCTGAATAGGAGGTCGACAAACCTAATTAGTAATGCGATTTAGCAAATCCCTAATTGCGCGTCTGGGATATTGCTTGAAATTTATATGTTCCTCGTGTTATGAATGGCTTTCCCATACTTTCAATTAACAATTGATTTCTATACTTATAACAACAACGCAATACAACAATTCCACTAATATTCGATACGAACGCAAATAAATTGTTATAAACGGCTCCTGTCAACTTCATTGTTTATCTCTTTCACTCTGCTTCTGCGTTTACCCCAACCTTTTCTACAAATCAACCCATCCTTCGCATCTTTTCTCTCCCACTGAACCCGCATGACGTTACAATTAACGTTGGTGACTATCTATACATTAATAAATGTAATTATTAATGCGGGTCAAATGGCTTTATTCACTAACTATATTATTTATTTCAATGTTATGTAATCGCCGTTAATTATTATTTAAACTGGATCATTTTGAACGATACACAATTGTAGAAAAGTACATTTAAGTTATTCCATTTTCAATTCCCTCTGAATTTTGAAGATTTTCATTATTATTTGTGTCCCACTAGGGATTCTGGTTCAATTTATATTTCTGAAAATTCATTTCGTTGTAAAATTAATAAAAATTGTATAAATTGTATTTTATAAAATTTAATTTTATTCAAAATTAATTCCCAATTCAGTAATTGGTAGCTTTATTTTTAAATTAAAGGAAAGTTCGTTAAGTATTTAGAAAAATTATTTCTCAAACTTTCCATTTGTAGACTAGGATATATGAAAAAGAATGTCCCATTTATAGGTAGTTCTCTGATAAGAGTGAATAAAATAATTTTATTGTCCATTGTGACGATTGTATTGATTTATTTTTACACTATCATCTGAAGTATTTTTTATTACAGTAAACTTAAAAACAGAAATGTCGTAAAGAAAAATTTTAAAACTGGAAAAACTTTCATAAATTGTCGATTGATTTCATGAAAATTCTATGACTTCTATAAAACCTCGGGAATACAATAACAGAATTATAGGTTTCAAGTTAAATATTTATGATTTTACGTTGATTTATTGGCATGTTGGAAGCAGACCAACTCATATAGTCCTATTAAACCGCAATAAAGGAGTGATTAACAGTTTTACACTACGCAAGTGCTGGAATATCGAACAACATTTATTGAGAGAAACGAAACGCATCTATACCGCATCCCATTTAATATTGATAAAACCCGCATTGCCGAGGAATTTAACCCAATTTTTTATTCACTTTGTCCTTAGTAATACATACGTTACTCGCTCTCTAAATTTACATAATTTAAAAGTGACGAGGATTCAAACGAAAAAATCCTGTTCCCTGCTTTTTATCATTCGGACTCAAACATTTATCACATTTTTTCATTTAAATTCCTGAAGATCTTTTGTAAAACAGTCAATTTTAAATCATCTTGTCTAAATTCGGGTCAATATAACATTGCGTTCTGAAGTGCAAATTACATAAACGACATTACATCTGCACCGAGAAAATTAAAGTAAACATTATCTTAAAAAATTTCATTGTAAAATAATATTTGTCTAAAAGAAGCTGCTTCATAGGAAGCAGCTTGGGCTTCTCTTACAGTCTGCG